CAAAGAAGATGCATAAAGGAAGTGTTTCAAGTCTAGATGAGATAGTGATTTGATTATCTTATTTTTTATAAATTGAAAACTAATGAGATGCCAACTAATTGGGGAATAAATACATAGTTGCTAAGATTTAAGATCAGAAGAAATAATCTATATTTTGGTAATTATTAAGGAATCTAACTTCTGCGTTATATGATGAAGTAATGCGGAGATTAATGGAATATATATGTAGAAAAGTTATGTCTGTTTTAGATATCAATTATATTTCAGGCTTGGAAGATTACTCTGGAAGTGACTTTTGTATTAAGGCAAGTAATGAAAAAGTATAGAGAGTAGGAAAATTATCTTCATATGATTCTTATTGATATGCTAAGGGCATATTATCATAATCACAAGATTTCATATCTTTTTACATAAAAATTCAAAAATAGTCCCCAAACTATTCGTGTATGACCAATTTAGTCCCATAGTATCATGTTGCTTTAATTTAGTCCCTTAACTATACAAAATTGATTCAAAATAGCCCTTTATGTTGTAATTATTATATAAATTTGATTCCAATTTAGTCCTAAAGGGATTATTTTGAATTAATTTTGTATAGTCGAGGGAGTAAATTAAGCAACATTATATCCTGGGATTAGAATGACCATATATGAATTGTTGGGATTATTTTGAAATTTAATCATATCTTTTTATCTTGGTCGTGAAGATGCTTATAAAGGATATTCAAAGTGAGATATTTTGGTTTATAAATTTGTAGATGTTATAGTTCTAACTTGTGATGTATATAATAGAATAAATGATAATTTAACATATTGGAGAAAATATATTAAAGATAGAGGGATTATAATTAGTAATATAAAGATTGATTATTTGATATATAATTTTGATATATGTGATAGTACTAATTATCATTTGATATTAAATTCTTTAGCTAGTTGATCAAGGAACATGATTTTCTCATGTTGTCAACATGGGCTATGTCATTAGACCTTTTGGGGTCCTATGGTCAGATTTGTGAAGCTCAATGAACAGGTATGCCCCTAGAACTAGAAGTCGAAACTTGAAGGCTTTAAAATCCAACGTGAAAAAATGCCTCTTAGAAAAGTTTGAGCTGAATTCAAAAGACTCATATATGCTTATGAAGCTAGCTTTAAATAGCATTCGAGACTAGTTGGCCCAGCTTAGTGATTGTAACATGGGATTCTTCCACTGTACGATAAAGGCAAGAGTGGGAACACTATACTCCAAATGGTTCTTTACATGGATTTGAGATAATTAGACAGAAATTAGATGGTTACTGTGAATTACTTTTCAAATTTCCTTTTCACTTACTTTTATTAACACTCACTATAATCTCCTATAAACTTACAGTGGCTGATGCCCCTTATGTTAATTTGAGAATTCTCTAGATATAATTGAGGAGTTTATCTTCAAATATAACTCTCGTAAGGCCCTGTGGACTGATGGAATCAATGTAAAATTTTGTAGGTAGCATAGTTATCATATTTGATGATTTTGTTGCTATTGTAAATTAATTATGGAATATTGCAGATATTTCTAAAATAGCTAATAGTACCCTTCTAATATTGATTCCATGGTTCCAAAGATGTATTGCTTTTTTCCTTATATATGATTTTAGGCCTATCTTCTTATATAGTGGTATTTATAAATGCATTTATAAATTGTTGGTTAATAAATTGAGATCATTTATGGGAATCTTTGATGCAACAAAAGTTTTCCTAGGGAAACACTAGATATGCAAAAGAAAAAAAACACCCTTCTAGAATTGCAAAAAAAAAAAGTTCTTCCATTCAATTTAACAAATACACACACCAAACAAGACACAACAAACTTTCAACATCTAATAGAAACCACTTACAAATTATATTAGACCAAGACACAACATAACTTATAAAATTTAGAGAGAAGAAAGATACATTTGGAGTGATAACTTGTGGAGAGAAGAAGGGTTAGAAGTTCAAGGCAAAATTAGAAGAAGAAGAGAAGAAGAAGACAATAGCTCGCAATCTATCCAAGAAGAAACCCTCAGATTTTTTAAATGTCATCACTCACCAAAACTTTTTAAATGACACAAATCAGCCACTATATATAGGAGAGGAGAGGGAGCCAAACATCCCAAACAGACACCCAAATAATCCAATAAAAAAAGGGGAGGCAAAAGGCCAACAGGTAGCCGAATGGAGCACACCCGAAGGGCCAGCGGGATAGCCACCGAATGGACAACGCTATGGGGAAGGAACCGGGCAGGCAGAAGAACCGAAGGGTCAAAACAGAGGGGATTGAACCCGGCTAGCAGCCAGAAAAGGCAGTAGAACATAGCATTTCATAATAATGAGCTGAAAAAGGTAGCATAACACATCAGCTCACAAAACTAGACAGCAAAACCTGAAACCACCAACCCAAGGAACCTTGGTAAAAATCCAAATCAGCCCACAAGTCATGACACCAAAGAAGCTAGCACATCAAAGGCAAGACATGTCAAAAAGCATAACCTACACATGATCATTGGTTGCCTTCCATCATAGGGTAGAAAATTAAAAAAAAAAAAAACATAAAATTCAAATTACAATATAGTTGAAGCATCAATCCATTAGTGAGTTGAACATGATCTGAATAGACCTTATTCATGTTTGGCTCGTTAGATGTTTGAGCTTCTAAAAACCAATCAAACTAGAGCTAATTATCTAGTCACACACAATCGAACACGAGCAACGAGTTTTTTTAATAACCCTAGCACAATTTGCCAGTGATATCTTTCATATTGTGTGACATGGTGGTGACATTTATGCTATTGATAAATGAAGTACTTCATCCTTTCTTAGATCAATTCATCATTATTTACCTTGACGACATTTCGAAGTGTAACAAAAGTTGGAAGGAGCATTTATAGCACCTATAATAGGTTTTAAGGCTTTTAGAATACACCAAACTTATTCTTAATTTCATAAAAGTGTGCATTTAGGAGCTTTAAACATGCTTATTTAGATTTCATCATTGGTGAAAAAGAACTTAGATACAAGTGAGGTAATCAAAATCTAGCATTTGGCCATGCCGTGCGTCATTTCCAAACTTTGGAGTCTCATAGGAACCCTAACATGAGTGCATGTTCATATATCATTTTGCAGTGTTGGTAACACCTTCGCATGCTCTTGACGGTGTTGGCCACTCTTTAGAGGGAGAAAGAAGAGGATAACACCTAGTTGCTCAAAAAGATCATTAGACCACTGATACTAGCTCTCCCCATTGTACAAAATCCATTTTAGTCAACGACAGGCGTGCCTAGTTTTTTTTCTTTTTGAAAGTTGACAAGCGTACCTAGTTAGTAATTGAATATAAGAAGGTTGCATAAAGTAAATGGAAAATATGCTTTTGAAACCACTCACCATCACTTCCATTATTTTGTTCGAGTTCGTGCAAGCCTTGCCGACGCACCATGCAACATACCCAAAATTTCACGAAGCCTTGGAGGTTCTTTCGCAAGGTAAGCTGATGACTTAGAATTATCAGGATGGGCTTCTCTCTACCATGGGGACTAACTATATGAAGCAAAAGATGCCTTCTTTTTTCCCTGTTGCGAGAGGCATATGCTTCAAGGGTGGTAGGACTCTTCAGATTAGAGAAAACTCTAAAAATACACTTGGATATGAAATTTTTCATGAGAGGATGTCTAATGTATACTATTTCAAGCCCATTAATTAAAAGGTTAGCCTTTACACACGTCTTCTGATACCTAATCGCCCCCAGGAGTCTATCTCATTGAACATTCAATTACCTCGTCATGATCATTCATCTTTATAGTAAGGCTGTGTGTTTAATTCCTTGCAAAATGACTATCATGGACAAGGAAATAAAAAAGTTTTTTCTTTCAACTTGTAATGAAGCACTTAATGTCACACGCCTCTATTATTTTTGATTGGGACATGTTTGTTAGTACTTTCTAGATATCACTATAGAGCCAGTTGGACACTACTAAAAATAAGAACCAATTTTCACTCCCCGATCAATGGTTAGACGAGGGTGGTGAACTCGTCAATGGTTTGGGCATTGCAAGGTTACAATTCCTAACATTCGAAGTTATGGGACAACAGCATCGATTGCATTTAGTATGCATCTAAGCTATCCATGGATCGATGCATAATCTCCTTTTGAGATTCGCCTTCCGCTGCAAAGTCCATTAAATTTTGATTTCTCCGTGAATTTATTAGAAGTTAACGTTTCATGAAATGAACCCAAAAGATTCATCAGGAGATAGGTAGCTTCAAAAGGTTGTGGGGAATTCATAACTAAAACTTCTCAAGTGCAAATTTAGGGATACTTGGTTTGGTTATGCATAAGAAAGGACATTTTAAAAGGTAGAAAACAAACTGCTTCTCTATGGAAATTTTAAATTGGAGACAATATGTTTCTGTTGGATCAATCTTATTATATGAAAGTGTACTCCATTATCAATGTAGAGAAATTGAAATTATTTGAGCCTTCATTATTAATCAGTGAAGAAGAGCACATAAGTGTGGTCCTTGGCAGAAGATCTTAATATCAAAGGTCCATTATAGGAGGATTGTATTTTGGATATGAAGACCACCTCAACCCCACGTTGGTTGAAGAAATCCTTCATGATTGTCAAGCAGGGACAAAATTCCAAACAAATTAGGTGGTTTTCTGAAGAAGTGATGCTATTTCCTCTTGTCCTATTATTTGTGGAAGTAAATGAACCTAAGAGGGGAGAGCCATGATTTGGGAGGGATGAGGTTGGTCATCATCCCTCCAAAATAAAAATTTATCAACTTCTTTGGAATTAGGATTTTTTTTTTCTTATTTTGATATTTTTATTTTGTTTCTTATCTATTTATTTGGAATTAGGATTTGCTTTCATACAGAAGTAACAAGAAACTACTTCATTTGAAAACTTTTTTATATTTGTTTACTTACACATAGGTTGCTGCAATTCTGATGTTTCCTTTGGCTGCTAAACTTCCCAGGTGGCTGAACGAGCCCTCTTTCTATGGAACAATGATCACATCGTGAGCTTAATTGCCCAGAATCGAAACATCATCTTCCCCATAATTTTCGACGCGCTCGAGAAAAACATGCAAGGCCACTGGAACCAAGCAGTTCATGGACTCACAGCCAATGTGCGCAAAATGTTCCTCGATATGGATACCGAGCTTTTCGAAGAATGCCAGCAGAAATATATAGACAAGGAAGCCAAAGCCAAGTCACAGGAAGAGCAGAGACAGATGGCTTGGAGAAGACTGGAAGCAGTCGCCGCCGCCAAATCTTCGGCCGAAGATATGGTATTAGTCAATTAGGATAATCTGACCCCCACCTTATTACTGTTCTCTTCTTTTTCTTTGTTTCTGCAGTTGTCTATTGATGTGCCCTTTTTATGAAAGAAAAGCTGGGATTATATGTAATCTTAAATGTATCATTTGTGGATATGTTGGAAGCTCTTTAATGGTCAATTTTTTTCTTTTTTTTTTCTTTCTTTTTTGGAGCATTTCAAAGTGAAGTGCTGCACTGCTATTTTCAGGAGGTCCCAGTTGTATGATGAGAACAAATTTTTATTTTTTTTTGTGAACGAGAATGTTAAATTGCGTTTGATATCATGATTTTAGGTTTCACATTATTTGATTGTTTCTGAATGTGATTTTGGAAATATGAATGAAATGAGAGATTTATCAGTTTTCATATGGGGGATGCAGCTTTTTTCTATTTATATTATAATAATTATATAGAGATGCAGCTGCACTTTAGATTATTGCTTTTTTATTACCAAAAGTAAAATAAAATTTAGGGTTCTGGATCGTCTAGAGTCGAATCAGAATTCGTCACTCACCTGGTATACAGTGTGGCTTATTTTGATTCGCCTCTGAATGGCTCCGGCTCCGTATCTGCACGGAATAATTTCACTGTTGGTAGAGCATTTGGTGAAAAAGAAGAGCAAATAAAGAGTGCATTGTCCATCACAACTTCCCTACTTTCTGGGCAAGTGGGCCAATGGCTGTTAGCCACGTTGAGCTCAGATTAGGTATCTCTCATACAGAAGCAGGCTATCTTCTGCGACAAATATGCAAATCAATGGGCTTTCTTAAATTCAGTGATCTCATCAGACAATGATTTGCAGCCTTAGGCTGCTTAGCTTTCATATTTTCATTTGAGTTTGAACTGATACTGACCTACATTTCTCAAAAAAGTTGTATGAGTTTTTGGCTGAGCATTTCTATTGATTTAGACCTCATTTGAATCTTTTGAGATTATTTTTTTACTATTTTGTTTTTTTTTTTAGCTGTAATTATACTTTTTATTTAACTACAGTTTTTTTCATTATTATTATTTTTATATTAAGAAGTTGCTTTCTAAGACGACTTTAAAAACCTACATTCTTTATAGTAGATTCACAAAATAGTAAGAAAGTCATTCCAAATAAAATTTAAATTGATCAAAAGTTAATTTTCTAGAATTTAAATGTAAGGTTGTCGTCGTCATCATCATCATTATTACTACTATTATAATTTTAGCATTTGTCTTTTTAGATTGTTATGTGCTGCACTGGAGAAAGATTATAAGAAAATCTAGATAGGTTAACAACATTGTCATCATGCAACAACAACAATAACAACAACAACATCAAATATATGTTCCACTACGTGGGGTCGGCTATATGAATCTTTTTTCTCCATTGTATCATGTTAAAAGTCAAATTCTCGTTTAAATCTAATAAAGAAAGATCATTTCTAATATTTTATAACCATGTCTTTTTAGTTCTATCTTTACCTTTTTTAATATAAGTCAAATCTAATACCTCTACTTTTCTAATTAATCGGGATATTGGAAGGCCAATATTTTATGTAACCAAATCATCTAAGACGACTCTCTCTAATCTTATCTTCCATTGAAGCTACTCCAACCTTTTCACCGGGTCATCATGCATGTTAATAAAAAGTTGTAGTATATTAATGAAGTATGTCAGTATGTTAGCAATGATCATGATCATACAAACAAAACTATGAGTAGATTCATCATGACCAATGCCAATATTTTCCTGTAGATTCATCATTAGCTAGACATGGTGGTGTTCTTGTTGTTATTATATCATATAAAATAAAATCACCATGCATATTTTTAGCTTATTTACAAGTTTGTTTAGTTGGGCATTAAATTGTTAAAGAATTTCTCAAGAATTTTCAAAGAATGTTTCTCAAAGATTAAACAAAAGACATTTTGAAAAGCAAAGCAAATGAAAGTTTTCATCAGACAAAACCTTATGTTATTGGAGCTTCTTTCTAATTGTTTTAACAGAAATATACTCATTATTTTCACAAAAAATTAAGTCTCAGTTTGGAACGGCTTTTTTACTACTTCTTAAAGCAATTTTTTAGTATAAAAATTTTAATTTTTAAACTAAAAAGTTGCTTCAAGAAGCAGAAAGAAAGCCGTCTCAAACGAAGCCTTATGCTTCATTTGGAACAGCTTTTTAATTACTTTTTTAAAACAGCTTTGTAGTACACAAAAATTTGTTCTAAAAAAATGCTTTAAGAAATAGTAAAAAATCCATCCCAAACTTAGCCTTAATTTCATGAAGGGAATTAGGCCTCTTAGGATGCAATAGATCTCACTTCATAAACAAATCTGCAATCCTATGCATTTATGTATCTAATGCCTAATTTTAATTAACTTTTATTTGTATTTATTTAATACTATAATGCTTTAATTGATTAAAATATATAGATAAAAATATATTTTTTATTTTAGAAAAAGTGAATATTAGTATGTATTTTTTATGTAACTTAAAGATTTATAAGTTATATAAAAAACATCAAGATTGTAAATATATATCATTTTTGCATTATATATGTAGACCCCCTCAATTTTTCAAGAGATTATTACATGCGGAGTCCGGATATGGAGAACCATTTGTTTTTGTGACTATGAACAGTAAAAGCGCAGGATACTGTTCATTGTCACAAAATCGAATGATTCTCTGTATCCGCACTTCGTACATAATAATCTCTCCAGTTCTTCTATATATTTCTAATGTAAAATTAAATGAACGTAACATTTCTTGTTTTTTGCTTCACCTCACTTATGTCAAATAATTAAGAGCTTTGAATCCCAACATAAAGGTCATAAGTGAATACACAGATGTGGTAGAGAATTTATGATTAAGGCTTCGTTTGGGACGGCTTTTTTACTGCTTTCTAAAACGGAGTTTTAGTACAAATTTTTTTATTTTTTTATTAAAACTCCGTTTTAGAAAGCAATAAAAAAGCCGTCCCAAACGAAGCCTAAATTACTTAAAATTAACCCATCCTCCATTACTAAGGAGCTAGAAGAAGAGTAAGAGGTTCACATGGAGGCTCTCTCTCTTCCAATTTCAGCAAGGAGCTATGCCATGCTTCCTCCAAAAAGAAATATAGTAAGAGATAAGCCTATTTTATAGCTTATAATTATTTTCTATGTACAAATGATTCTTTGCAACTTTCTATGTTTGGATTGCTGGCTAACACTTTACTATATTATATATATGCTCAAAATTTAATAACATGTTAATTAAAAAATAAATAAATATGACATAAACTTGCAAAACTACATTGATAGTTTCACTCTGCATCCTCTTCTTATCCGTCAGAAAATCCGTCACTAAGTAACCGGCAGAATAATCGCCGGTTATACTGCCGCTTCTACAGCAGGATATAGATCCGCCGGAAATTTGGTCGGTATATCGAGATTTTCCTGTAGTGTCAATCATTGATCATATATTATCAAAAAATTATGAAGTCAAAATCATTGTACTTAGAAGAAGCTCAACATATATATAAGGTGATGAGGTACATGCATATATTAAAAATGTATATGCATCAATTTACTATAGTACGTAGGTAGGTAATTTCCTTTGTAGTATAAAAGAATGGCTATTTATAAAACTTACAAATCTAAAAAATAATAATAAAATCTCAATCTGTGTATTTGATAGTTGTTCTTTTAGGTCGGGTATTATTTTCATAAATATTTAAATTTATATTTTTTTTTTACTAAACTTCTTCCAAGTCTCAATGTAAAAAAAAAAACATAAAAAATTATATAATAAGCACTTCATTTTTTAATTTTTTTTGCTTAAATTCATGCTTTATTATAATAGACAATAATCATGAAGTCAAAGCCGGGCATCTTAGACCCGACCTGAGAACAAACCGCTCCGGTTCAAAAGCTGAACCAGATCAACCGGGCTGCGCGGCGCATGTTAGCTCGACCCATTAGGAACATATGTGAATCCTCGAAGGCACGTTGTTGCTTGCACAGGCACGCTTGAAACCTCCTCGCTCCGTCAATTTCTCTCTCTCTCTCTCTCTCTCTCTCTCTCTCTCTCTCTCTCTCTCCCACGGTCCTTAGCGTTTGAAGCTCTCAGTCCTCGCCGTTTCCTGTATTAATCTCCCTCTTCCAGATCGTCACCGTAATCCTTCTCCTCCAACGTCGTCGTCAATGCCGAGTTCGAATCGCTCGGGATTGTCCTTCGCCTTCACATACAGAGATCAAGCGGCGAAGTAGGCGTCGTGATTGCCGACTTGCCGCTTCGATGCAGGTTGTGAGGATCAAAAGGGAGCTTCTCGCCGCGTGCTTGACGTGCCCCCTCTGCCATAAGCTTCTCCGTGACGCCACCACCATCTCCAAATGTCTCCATACATGTGAGTGACAATCACATTCAGATTTTAAATTATGAATCCAAAGTTTCTTCTGCGATCCATTGTGCTTAATTCCATCTCTTAATATTTGCCCTTTTCGACGTGGATTGCTTGTAGTTTTTGCTTTTGGGCCTTTGACGATCTGAGTTGTTCTGTGCGTTTTTTTTTTTCTTGTTTTGGGGGAATTGGGAGCTTTTTGATGCGCTGATACGTAGCAAAAGATGGATTATTGCTTTTTTTTAGTCGATCAACTGGAAAAATTTGAACTCCCAATCTACTTTTATGTAGATTTTTACACTGATGATTCAACCAAAATAATCCTCTCTACAATCATTATATGCAGTGAAGTAAACCTCAAAAGGATATGTTAGTGGGAAGAAAATTTGTATCATGAGCACTTCCAGGTGCCATATACATATTTATTCAAAATTAAAAATATTTTATAAATATTATACGCTATATATCAAAACTATAAAATAAATTTTAAAGTGTTATATGGTAATCTTTAAAATTATCGTTTGTGATATAATATCTTCTTCTCATGTCAATCTATCTGACATTGCATGATCAACTGTTTATTGAAGAGGATTGAAAGGCAAATCTGGTGAGAACTAACTGCTTAAATTAAGATGAAAATCTTGAGAAATTATTACTCGTGAATTATATAATTGTGAATAATATATGATGGTGTATTTGAGATATAAAAAAAATCATATTTTTTATTCTTTGTGTACTTTATTTTTGAAAATACACAACTAATCTTGAATTTAAGATTTAAAATTAAATTTATTCAAATATATACATATATATACATGCATCTAATAATTTCGCTAATCTTTGGCAAAACTCACAAGCACCAATTTAGACAGCTTAGAACTCAGCTGGCCGGCTGAAAAAACATAACCGGACAGACCTACGGCGCACGTTAGCTCCAGCCTTACCAATAAGGAGGACTATATACTCGAAGTCGATGACACGTTCGCAGTAGCACGGCGAAGACTCCTCGCTTCGTAAAGTTTTCGTTTTTATACTAGCTTTCTCACTCCTCAGCGCCGTTCAATCCGTCGGGCTCGAAGCCCTCAGGCTGTCCGCCGGCTAACCACGTCCGCCTCCCAAATCTCGCCGGAGAAATCGACGTCTTTGCTGGAGTTTATCTTCGTTGGCTCCCCAATCAATCTCTACTCTCAGATCCTCTTCATTGAACCCTCTCTCTGCAACGTCAATGCCGACGTTGAATCTTTCGGGAACCTCCTTGTTGCTGGCATGCGGGGGAGGGCGCTAGCACGTGGGGCCGGCGACGTGGTGGTGAGGAAGGTTGGGATGTCGAGCGCCGGAATGGAGGCCGGGTCGATGCAGGTTGTGAGGGTGAAAAGGGAGGTACTTGCCGCGTGCATGACGTGTCCCCTTTGCCATAAACTCCTTCGTGGCGCCACCACTATCTCAGAGTGTCTCCATACGTGTGAGTTCATATTCTGATTTCAAATTAATCCAGGGTTTCTTGGGCGATTCATTGTGGTCTCGTGTATTATTGACCCTTTTACGACGTGGATTCTTCTTTGCTCTTAGGTTTGGTGATTTGATCTGTTCTGGGTTGTTTCCTGCTGTGAATTTCTTTGTTTAGAGCCATTGAGAGGTTTTTCAGCTTAATACGTTGAAAAAGATGGAATTTTTACGTTTCGATTGTTTTTGTTTTCCCGCGTTGTCATGCTATTGGTGCTGTGGGACGTCGAGGCTGCCCTTTTACAACGTGGCTTGCTCGCAGGTCTTGGTTTTGGAGATCTGAGCTGTTCTGGGTTATTCATGTTGTGAGTTTTTGTTATTTCTGCCATTGGGAAGTTGTTGAAGCTAATACGATGCAAAAGATTGAGTCTTTACGTTAAAATCGTGTAAATTTGTTCTTCTTCGTGCGTTGGGATGCAATTTGTGATGTGATACGCCGAGTAAATTGCATGAATGATCTCGTATTGACAAAAGTGCTTATTTGTTGGTGAGTGTTGGAGCTTTTAGTTATCTGCTCATCCATGTGGACAAATCGACGTGCTGATGCCCAACATGACAATTTTAGTTTTGTTCAATGAGAAATTATATGATGCTAAGTACGTAGTTTAATATATAAATAATGCTAGTTTGTAATTATGGATTTGTTGTGTGTATTTGTGTATTTTTTCCCCAAAAAAAATCGTGTATTTTATTTTTAAGATTAGAAAATGTATATAGTACTTCAAAATAATGATGTATATAATAAATGCACAATTGTGTACTCTACATGTAGGTTATGATATATAATTTGTACCTATTAGTTTTTCCTGATCAAGCTTTTGCTCTCTGTCTATTTTTTGAAAAGAAAGAAAGAGCAGTATATTGCATTGAAAAATTGCAGACTACTCTGTGAGTGATTCGTCATTGTTGAATCAACAAGAATAGTAGAGCTCTGTTTCATTTAACTGAAGTTTCGGCCTAATGAGTCCATTGACCATTGCTGACGTTGATGATTGAGCTGAAATCCTTGCTACCCTATTACAGTGAAGCTGGAGGAATAACTCAATATATATGCTGTTGCATGGCCACTCTTGCGTGATTGACTTCTAATGTGTTGTTTGGTTCATTGCTATTTAGTTGGCAGTGATATCGCTTAATCGGTTGAATGTTATCTTATTTTAAAATTATAATGCTATTTAGAAAATTTAATTGTAATTATATTTATTTTTTGTTTTCATTTTTTTAAGTTTTCATATAGTTTGACATTTATGTATGGAGTGATTTGATCATAGCATCAAAATAGGAGTTAGAGTCTATTTGGAGCAGTTGCGGTTATTTGTAAAAATAGTTTTAGAGTTATTATGAGGAAGTCAGATTTTTTTAAAGCTATTATGGGCTTTATATATATTTTTTTCTTTTTAGAAAAGTCAGACATTGATCTTTTTATAACTACCAAATTTTAGAACTATTCATTAAAAAAAAAAATCTTAAAAGTAGCAAGAAAGTAGCGGCTAAATATCAGTGTGGTAGTGGTCTAAAAAGGGAGAAATTATTTTGCGTGGAGTCCAGACAAGAAGAGTCGTTCAGACATGTGAGTGTACACACTATGTACACATTTGTACACAGTATATATCACATTAGTGTACACACCGTGTGTACATAGTGTGTACACTTACAGTCCGGACGGTTCTTTCCATCCGAACTCTGCATAGAATAATTTCTCCTAAAAAGAAAAGTGAAAAAGCTTCCCCAGACAAATCCTTAAAAATGTCATTTATGGAAGTATTATTTATAATACTAATAAACCAAACAACTGTTATCTTCTAAGTTCTAATAACTTGATATTACATAGGTGATATCAGTGAGTCAAACATGCCCTTTAAGTTTCTTAATTTTTTTTCAGCAGGTCTTCATTCTTGCGTCTGAACTGCTAAAATATTGATTAACTCATTATAAATGATTTCACTTAATATCCTACTTTGATTTGTTGTTTTCTTGCTGACATTCAGCAATATTTATTGCTTAGTTACATTATTGGAGATTTCCTCTAATGCCTTGGTTAGGGAGAAGTGAAGCCTATTGACCTACTGACAATAGTTTATTGAGTTTGATTAATAAAATTTGTTTTTCCTTCAAATCAGTTTGCAGGCAATGTATTTTTGAGAAACTAAATGATGAAGAGGCAGAATGCTGTCCTATATGTCAGATTGATCTAGGTTGTGTTCCAGAAGAGAAGCTAAGGTAACTGAAAAATAAATGACTATAGTTACTTATTTTTGTGTTTTGTTTGGTAATCTATCTCTTTAGTCTATATTACTTTTCTCTGTTGCAAACACGTCTCTTCGAGGACAGCTTTCCTTTCAAATACACTGACAAATTTAGCATGTTGTTCTTCTTGATTTATGCGGTATCATGATGATTCTGTTTACATTGTTACTATATAAATTACTTATATTGATGTTAGTACAAGATAGCTGATATAGATTCAAACATATCCGCACTTGTTTTCACATTAATAGTTTGTGATATGTTTTCTTATCTGTTTGTTGATTTTATTTTTTTCAATGTACATGCTTCCTTAAGTGCTTCATATTAAAACAAGATGAAGATACCATGGATACTTCTAAATTACCTCAGTAAAAGTGATAGGAAATACTTGAGTTCGCAACAAATCCTATCGGAAATACTTGAGTTCACAAGCAACCCTAGCAATAATTTGTGAAAACACCGAGAAAATTGCAAGAAAACCGAGGAAAGACAATCCAAACAATAGAGAATTTTATAGAACTCAAATCAAAGAAAACACCAAGCAAAGATACAATTGATCCTCAATTCGAGAGGAGGATCATTCTCTCCCAAGATGTATAGATGAAATCTAGAGCCCAAAGACACCAAGAAGACTTCACAAGAACACAATTATCATCATATCCCTAACCCTAATTTTCCTCATACTTAAGACATGAAATTAGAAAACAAAAGCAAAAGACTAATTTGCCCATGCCGCTCCCCTTGGCTCCAATTTTAAAATTTGAATTTCAAGTGGACCCCACCCTTCTCTCTTTCCCTGTTGCCGCCACCCCCCTCCTTGAATAAACCTGGATCGGCCCCTTAGAAGGGGCCGGCATGACCGGTCCAGTAAGGACCGGTCTAACCAAAAGCTTTCTGCATTTCCTGTATTATCAATTTACCACAGTTCATAATAATGTTTAGTAAAGACAAGGTTCAATGGCTAAAAGTCGAAGCCATACAACTTCTAATTCATAATATCATACTTAAGGAAGGAAAGCTGGAAAACCAAAAATTATATTCATTCATCTCTAATTCTATTTGCTGTTGCTTTTGTTGAAAGTTTCTTGAGATTTGAAGATTATTGCCAAGGTTCATTTATAATTTACTTGAGACACTGTCAAGCTCATGTGCCATTTAGAAGCCCAGTGCTATGTCCTTAACACTGTCAAGCTCATGTGCCACCAAAATATACCATATTTATAAAGCTGCTAGCAAATTCATATCTTTGCACATGTCACGATCAAACTCTTGGGAATTTGATGATAGCAAAATATATTGGGGTTTTGTTTTAAATTTTGAAAAATGTTGTAGGACTGTGCTAGATTGTAATTAGTGTATGGGCTGAGCGTGCAACATTTTTTTTTCTTTCTCAGCCAGCACAACCCATCTAATCCATTCCATATCTACAACTAGGGGTGTAAGAGCCAAGACGGCTCAAGCTTGACTTGTTAACGAGTGCACGAGTCAAGCTTATCGAGCAACAAGTTCGAGTTCGAGCTTAGACTAGTTCGGCTCGAAAGCTCGTTAAGCCACTTGATTAATTTAAAATATATTTAAAAAATAATTTAAATTAGCATATTATAATATATTTTATTATTTTTAAATTAATTCTATATCAAAAATAAAAATTTTAATTTAGAACTAAAAAATCAACACCAACAATTGAGTCAAGTTGAGATTTTCAAATGAGCTCGAGGATTGAGCTTAGCTCAACAACAACAGCATCAAGCCTTTATCCCACTATGTGGGGTCGGCTACTTGAATCCTTTTCCTCTATTATGCAATATTAAAAATTTAAAAGTTAAATTCTCCTTTAAATTGATAGGAAATACTTGAGTTCGCAAGTAACCTAACCAAAATCAGTTAGCAAACAGCAACTGGACTGCTGTCCACAGCAGGAAAACACAGCAAAACTGCTGTTTACAACAGTTTAACAGCAGAATTTCGAAGAAATCTGAAAGAAAACTCAAAGCAATACTTGTATTTCACTAGTAGACGGATAAAATAGCAAGATACACTTGATCCTCAATTCGAGAGGAGGATCGATCTCTCCCAAATCTCTAGACGCCGCTAGAGCCCAAAGAAAACCTAAATCTAAGAGATCTCAAATTTCAGCCAAATTCAAGATACCCAAACCCTAGGAAAATCAACTATTTAATGCATACAAATCAAAAGGAAATCCCTAAACAGTCTCTACATTCAAATTTCCCTCTCAAAACTCCAAAAAAAACTTCCTAAAATGCTCTAATGGGGTGGACGGACCGCTCGATCTCTGCAGGAGGTGGAGATCCCGCCGTCTTTGCGAATAGCTAGTCCCGTGCGGACCGGCTCGACCGGCCTAACAATACTCCCCTCCCAAAGATCCACCTTGTCCGCAAGGTGGAAAGACGACACCCTCCATTCCTTCTTCATCACAAACAATAAGAACCTGAAGAGTTGGTCCTTACACCTGTGCCCCGGCATATACCTCTCGTCACATCTGAAATAAAGCCCCTTCACCCTCTTCTCCTGTAATTCTGTCTCTGTGAGCTTCTTGAAGTTGTCCCCAGGTCTTCCTCATGTGGTCTTTTCCTTCGAAGTCCCTCGAAGAGTATCCGGTGTTGGCTCCTTGGATTTCAATAAAGTGGTGGTCATCCTGTACGAGCCTCCTGAGCTGCCGCCTCCCGTCTCTCCCTCTAGGTGTCTCTGATCTTCTACCAATTGAGCTAGCTCCATAGCCTCTCCCAAGTCACGAGGCCTCATTACTCTAACCACTGCTCGGATCTCTGGTCTCAATCCCTTCATGAGGTTTCCCTCTAGCACTGTCTCATAAAGGTGGTCCAATCGGCTACCAAGGTACTCGAATCTCTCCTGGTATTCCGTCACTGAACCCTCCTGTGTCAAGGCAAAGAACTGCTCGTAGAAGTCTCCTCCTCTGCCAGTTCGGAAACGCTCTACCAAGCAATCCTTGAACTCTCTCCAACTTCGTATGAGTCGTTGCATGTCCCTCCACTGATACCAAGACAGAGCCTTCCCTTCTAAACATAGGCCTGCCGCCGTCAATCTCTCCTTCTCTGTCAGCCCATTGACGGCGAAATATCTTTCTACCTTGTAGATCCACCCGTGTGCATCCTCCCCCTCAAAGATTGGCATCTTCAGTTTCCTCACCCTTGGGTCACACCCGTTTCCCCTAAATCCTCCATAACCTCTCATTCCTCGAAGCGGAGATGCTCCCCAATTGTCATGATCTTCCTTCTGGCGATCATACCCAAACCATTCATCAAAATCCCCTCTTCTTCTTTCAAAATCAGCACAACGGTGATCGAAATCATCTCCTCGCCTTACAAATTCAACACCTCTTCTTGCATAGCCAATGCTCATCTCCTCTCTAGAAAGTTGTTCTAGATGCGGCATTCCGTCTTCTCCCTCCAGGATCTCCACTTCTGGCTTTTTCCTTCCCCTAGGCGTGTTAGGGTTCTCATCTCTTCCATGGCCTCTTGTAGTTTCCTTTGCTTCTGATATCACCGGTTTGGTTTTATCTTCAAGCAATTTCTTCAATAAGTCTTCAATTACGGCAAATTTTTCCTCCATCTTTTCATTGACGGATGCAATCTGACTTTGAAAATAAGTCAGGTTTTCCTCAAAACCCAAGTTCTCCCTCCAAAATTTCCACTTTTCTTCTGGCCATTGGTTCCCCTTCGATCGATGTGCTCTGATACCAATTTGATAGGAAATACTTGAGTTCGCAAGTAACCTAACCAAAATCGGTGAGCAAACAGCGACTGGACTGCTGTCCACAGCAGGAAAACACAGCAAAACTGCTGTTTAACAGCAGAATTTCGAAGAAATCTGAAAGAAAACTCAAAGCAATACTTGTATTTCACTAGTAGACGGATAAAATAGCAAGATACACTTGATCCTCAATTTGAGAGGAGGATCTAATCTTATCTTCCATTGGAGCTACTCCAATCTTTTCACGTATATGCAACATTTGATATCTTTTCTTGTATTTTTTGATTCCACCATCAACTATTTTTATTATTAGGAGCTTATCTCTTTGATACTCCAAGGATATTTTTTGCAACATTTTTAATATCACATTCTGCTTGTTTCCACACAACATTAACTTTCTCATAAACAGACAAAATCTTAAGATTAATATCCTACTCTCAAAATTTTTTTTGTTAATATTCTTTAAAAGCACTCATCTAATTATAAAACAATATTTTATTTTATTTTATTTTTTTCCTTCATCTTAAAGTCCAAAACTAATAATCGATGTTGTGTACATAAACTTTCACTCGGAATAACTTTATAATATTTGTAATCTAAACGATCTATTTTTTTTATAAGAAAATAATCATTCTGAGTTTTACTATATTCATTCTTGTTAGCAATTATAAAATCATAAGCCAAAGAAAAATTTAATATGGTCTTACCACCTTCATTAGTTGCTCCAAATCCATAGCCACCATGAATGTTTTAAAATTATCTATCTCTTTACCAATATGTCCATTTAAATCACCTCAAATAAAAAAAAATTTCTTTAAGATGTATCTTTATATTAATTATTCTAAGTCATTCTAAAATTTTAATTTTGTCTATTTGAGAAGCATAAATACTTATAATATTAATAATTTTAGCATCAACAACTATCTTTATAACTATAATTCCATCTCAAACTTAATTAATTTTTATAACATTATATTTTAAACTCTTATCTATAATCACACCAACACCATTTTTAATACGACTATTACCATATACTATAGTTTAAATCCTAAATTATCAATCTCCTTGGCATTCTCTCCAACACATTTAGTTTCATGAATGCATAGAATATTTATCTTCCTATGAATTATAATATCTATTAATTCCATTAATTTGCATGTAAGGGAACATATATTCCAAGTTCATATCATAATTTTAGTTTCATGGACTAGCTTCTTTTCTTACAATCATCCATGATGTGGGAACATTTTCCTATTTAACACTGCACCTGGGTGTCGGTGTAGTGGCCCTTGCACACTTGTCGTTGTATTCAGGTCATACAGTGTGTCTCTTTCAGGAAACATCCTAGCATTAACATAATGAGGTTGACATTTTTAGTATGATATAGAGGCTAACATTTTTAGTTTCTAAGAGCATATCTTGACATGACATAACCATGGTGTTGTGAGAGATTCCTCTATTTTTTGTGTCCTAAAGAGAATTTGATGCGGTTAATTATTTTTCTCAGAAATATTTTGTAAAAACAACCGAAATTCTAAATATTGTTATCGTTTTAAACACTTTACACCCAAGCTTTTCAAGTGAGTTATGCTATATTCTGAAAATAAATGTAATACGTGTTGATGTTCATTGGAAACCTTTTGACTTTTGTTTCTTTAGCTACTGTTTTTTCGGTCTTCACTTTTTATTCACCCAAGATTGTAGTTAAACAGTTGCATTCAGTGTAGCTAAGCTTGTACTGTGTTATATAAAAGATTGTTTAATGATTTTTTTATCTGCCATCTTCAAGAGATATATCCTTTTTCTCTTTTTCATTGAACAATTTTTCCTAAAAACTACACTTGTATTTCTTATTGCAGTGTAATCAATGTTAAAATTTTCATTGCGTGGTTCTTAATGCATGCTGCATTCTGTGTTTGTCAAAGCTAGCCTTTGCCTAAAACTGCATTTAATCCAGGCCTGATCATAATCTTGAAGATGTGAGAGCTAAGATCTTCCCCTACAAAAGGAAAAAGGTTAATAGTCCTGAAGTTGTCCCATCCATTACATTGCCGGTTAGAAGAAAGGAACGGTCACTATCTTCATTAGTGGTCAATACCCCTAGAATGGGAGCACAGACAAGCTTGACAGGGAGAAGAACAAAAGCAGTAACTAGAAGGGCATCCGCATTACGTGGAGTAAGTCCAGTTATTGATGATTCTAAAAAGAAAGAATGTTATAATGATGATCTTGCAGATTCCAGCTCAACAGAGACTCTGAGCAAATTGGCTCACAGTAGAAGGCAGGTAAATTATTTGCTTAGTTTCTATTTTGAATTGGAGTTTATTTCTTGATGGTTGCTGTTATGCCGGTTCACAAAGAATCGGCCCAGCCGGTCAACAGACCGGCTCAAATCCAGTATAGGAGGCGGAACAAAGCCGCCTCCTTTGGCTTTTCCGCCAAAACCTGATGGGGCCCGCCCCATCTAATTATTTTTAAAAATTGAATTGAGGGGGAGGGGCTTGGGTTTAGGAGGAAAATTGTATTAGGAAGGTTTGAGTATTAAAGTGCATGAGGGAATTATGGATGTTTATGTTTTGTTTGATTGAGAATTAGGGTTTCTTGGTGTTTGGACTCTAGACTCTCTTGTCTAGACATTTTGGAGAGACGATCCTCCTCTCGAATTGAGGATCACTTGTATCTTGCTTTCGTATTGTTTTTGCTTTGCTTCCCTTATAGCAATCTATCATTTTGGGGCTGATTTAGCCCAAATTTTGCTCTTTTCTCCAATTAGTGATAGGTTTGCTTGCGAACTCAAGTATTTCCTATCAAATTGGTATCAGAGCAAGTCTCGGGACCGGTGGAGGGCTGATTTCAATGAATTCCAGAAGCTTTTCTTCTCTCCAAATAGGAAGAAGTTGATGATTTTTATTCCAAAATCTTTTTTTTTTAATCTACAAACGCCGGAGTGTGATGGCGGCAAAAAAGGTGGATGCCTTGGAAGAAAGACTTGAAGGGGAGATGAATCAAATCAAAACGACAGTGGAGGAAAGGATCTCTTCCATGGAGGGACAAGTCGCCGACCTCCGAGATATGATGAAGAAAATGCTAGAGATTCAAAATCAAACAGCGGCTTCAGTGGCAAAAGGGATGGAAGGAAAGAGTAAGAATTCTGAAATCCGTAAGGAGGAAGATTAGGTGGAGATCGTGGAAGGAGAAGGAAGAAGACCCCATCTGGAGCCTTTCCAGAGGGAAGAAAGAGGAGGATATAAGGAATGCCAGGAGGGATGCTACGACCGCCGAGGTGCTGATTTTGAAGAAAGAAAGGGGGATTTTGAAGGAGGTTGGGGCTATGGTATAACAAGGGAAGATCGGGAAACCTGGGGCGCACCCATCACTTGGGAGATGGAAAACTATGGAAGGATCAGGGGAAACGGTGGCGACCAGAAGGTGAGGAAGTTGAAGATGCTCATATTTGAAGGAGAAGACGCGTATGGGTGGATTTACAAGGTAGAGCAGTACTTTGTCGTCAATGGGTTGACGGAGAAGGAGAAGCTGACAGCAGCGGAATTGTGCTTGGAGGGGAACACCCTGTCGTGGTTTCAGTGGAAAGATCAGAGGAGGCCGATCAGGAATTGGAGGGAATTCAAAGACTGCGTAATAGAGTGTTTTCAAACCGATCGGTGAGGAGACTTCTATGAGCAGTTCTTTGCTCTGACACAGGAGGGATCAATAGCAGATTATCGGGAGCAGTTTGAGCACCTAGCCAGCAGGGTGGAGCGACTCTCAGATACAGTCATGGAGGGAAATTTTATGAAAGGGTTGAAGGAGGAGAAGGTTTGATGCCCCGTGACTTGGGGGAGGCCATGAAGTTAGCTCAATTGGTGGAAAATCAAAGGAATTTGGAGAAGGGAGCCAGGAGTAGCAGCACCGGGGGCACTTACAGGATGACGATCACTCATCTAGCACCTAAAGGTCCTGCAACAGGAAGAAGCCGAGAGACCACCAAGGAAAAGATAGGAGGAGGGAGCGGGGGAAATTTCAAGTGGCTGACGGAGAAAGAGATGCAGGAGAAGAGGGCTAAGGGGTTGTGCTTCATATGCAATGAAAAGTACATGCCAGGGCATCGGTGCAAGGACCGAACTCTTCAGGTTCTCACCGTCTGTGATGACGAGGTAACTGAGGGAGGTGAGGAGGAGATAAAAGAGGAGATGGATGAGAAGCTACACTTGGATCTAGCTGAGGTTTCCCTGAACTTGGTGGTAGGGTTCACTACGAATCACACCATAAAGGTGAAGGGAGAGATAGAGGATAGGGAATTGGTGGTGTTGATTGATAGTGGAGCTACTCACAATTTCATTTCCACCCAGGTCGTCGATCAACTGGGAGTGAGATTGGTGGATACCGGCTGTTACGGGGTGATGATGGGTACAAGAAATGTGGAGAAAGGTCAGGGGATTTGCAGAGGAGTGCGACTGATAATCCAGGGATACAGGTGAGGGAAGACTTTCTTCCGCTAGAGTTGGGGAGTACAGAGGTCATCCTGGGGATGAAATGGCTGCAAACTTTGGGGGACACCAAAGTGAATTGGGGAGTACTCACGATGGAGTTGACGGTGGATGGGAGGAAGGTAGTGATTAAGGGAGATGCGAGGCTTTCCAAATCCCTGGTTTCTCTTAAAACGATGGTGAGGGATATTCGTGATGGGTGGAGGGTATCTAGTGGAGCTTAGGGGTGTCAATTCCGGTCAACGGGTCGGGTTAGGGTCGAACCCGGAACTAACCCGGCACTATTTAGGTCAACCCGAACCCGACCCATTTTTAAAACGGGTCAGGTTTCTGGACCCAAACCCGACCCGATTCTGGTCCGGGTCAACCCAATCCGACACGAATGACCCGAAGTTTACCTAAAATTGCTAGTTTTTCGGGTCAAAATTGGGTCAATCTTCGATTTTCGGGTCAAAATCGGGTCAATCTCGGGTTTCCGGGTCAAATAGGAGTTTTCGTGTCAATTTCGGGTCATTTTCGTATCAATTTCGGGTTGTTGGGTCAACCCGACCCGATTTTTAAAAATGGGTTGATTTGTTGAACCCGACCCGTTTCGGGTTCAGGTTGACCCTAACCCAGATTTTTCCAGGTCGGGTTTGGGTCGTGTTTCGGGTCGTGTCAAATATTGACACCCCTAGTTGAGCTGCACAGTTTGGAGGGAGAGAGTTTGGAGAAGGGAGGAGACATACCCCACTCTATTCAGTCGTTGATTCAGTAATTCCAAGAGGTGTTTCAGCCACCTTAGGGATTGCCACCGCGGATGGAGTAGGCCATGCCATAGTGTTGAAGGAGAGAGTGTCGTCCATCAGTGTACGGCCTTACCGCTACCCTCAGTTCTAGAATGATGAAATAGAAAGGTTGATCAGAGAGATGTTAGAGGCAGAAATCATCAGACCCAACATCAGTCCCTTCTTTAGTCCAGTTCTATTGATGAAAAAGAAGGATGACAGTTGGCGTTTTTGCATGGACTACCGAGCACTCAACAAGGAAACTGTTCCTGATAAGTTCCCTATCCTAGTTATTGACGATCTGCTAGATGAATTGAGTGGAACAGTGATCTTCAGCAAGATAGATTTGAAATCAAGTTACCATCAGATTCAGATGAAGAAGGAGGATGTACCCAAGATGACCTTTAGAACTCATGAGGGACATTATGAGTTATTGGTTATGCCTTTTGGCCTCATCAATTCCCTCGCTACTTTTCAGGCCCTTATGATAAGGTTTTCAAACCTTATCTCAGACGGTTTGTACTGGTATTTTTTGACGACATCCTGATCTACAGCAGGTCAGAGGAGGAGCACTGGGAGCATTTGAAAAGGGTGCTAGAGGTACTGCAGGAGCACCAACTGAGGGCCAACTTGAAGAAATGCTGCTTCGCACAAGTCAGTGTAGAGTACTTGGGTCATGTTGTGTCAAAAGAGGGGGTGGCAGCAGATCAGTCCAAAATTGAGGCAATGCTAAGGTGGTCAGTGCCGAAGAATCTGAAGGAGCTGAGGGTATTCTTAGGGCTGACAGGTTACTACAGAAGGTTCGTAAAGGGGTACAACAACATAGCATGACCACTCACTGAGCATTTAAAGAAGGACGGGTTCCTATGGGGGGAGGCGGCTACAGCAGCATTTGAGAGCCTGAAGAAGGCAATGACGACGGTCCCGGTCCTAGCCTTGCCATATTTCACTCAGACCTTCTTCGTGGAGATGGATGCATCAGGATACGGGCTTGGTACAGTGCTGATGCAGAATTGTAGGCACATTGCCTATTTCAGCCAGGTTTTGACTGCTAAAGCCAGGCTGAAGTCAGTTTATGAGAGAGAATTAATGGCCATCGTTCTGGCCATTCAGAAGTGGCAACCCTACCTACTTGGGAGACATTTCGTTGTCAGGACAGATCAGCGGAGTTTGAAATATCTGCTGGAACAATGGATGGTGATAGAGGAGCATCAAAGATGGTTGTCCAAGTTGCTAAGGTACGACTTTGAGATTCAGTATAGGCCATGGGTGAAAAACGAGGCGGAAGATGCTTTGTCCAGATGTATGGGGGAGCTGCAGACAGTGGCACTATCAGTTCCTTTGATGCTTGACTGGGTGGCCATCAGAGAAGAAAGTGCTATAGATGAAGATTTAGGAAGGATCAGGTCGGATTTACTGAAAGAGGAGGGCAACCACCCAGGGTACTCATTGGAGGGAGACATACTGCTGTATCAAGGGAGATTTGTGATGCTCAGGACCTCGATCCACATCCCAAACTTACTCCAGGAGTTTCATGGAAGCGCTGTGGGGGGCCATTCAGGCGTACAGAAGACCTATAGGAGGCTAGCTGCATAATTGTACTGGAAGGGGATGCGTAAAAATGTAGAGGACATGGTAGCCAGGTGTAAGATCTGCCAAAGGAATAAGTACATGGCTATGTCACAAGGAGTAGGGCTGCAAACGAACCGAGCCGAGTCAAGTATGTGAGTGTTCATGTTTGTGTTCATTTAATGTCAGGTTGTTCAAGTTTGGTTCATGTTTGTTCGAGCTTTATTGTTTGTGTTCATATTTGGTTCATTTAAATTAATGAGTGTTTATGTTCGGTTCATGTTCATTCGTTTGTTTGTTTGTTTAGTTAATTAAACGATCACGAACGAGCTTTAATCGAACCGAACAACGAGTAGCTCGTCGAATGTTTGGTTCGCTTGCAGCCCTAACCAGGAGGATTACTATAGACGTTAGCTCTATCGGGAAGAGAGTGGGAGGAGATCTCTATGGACTTTATAGATGGGTTGCCCCGTTCAGAGGGATTCACGGTGATTTTGGTGGTGGTGGACAGGTTGAGCAAGTATGCTCATTTCATTCCCCTCTGACACCCCTACACAGCAGTGACAGTGGCTTCAGCTTTCATCAGGGAGGTGGTCAGGTTACATGGAGTACTCGAGGCGATCGTATCAGACAGAGACAAGGTATTCCTAAGCCACTTTTGGAGAGAGTTGTTCCGATTGCAGGGGACAGTTCTGAAGAGGAGTACAGCTTACCATCCACAGACGGATGGTCAAATGGAAGTAGTCAACAAGAACTTGGAGACGTACCTGAGATGCTTTGTGTTAGAGACACCCAAGCTGTGGGCTAAGTGTCTATCATGGGCAGAGTATTGGTACAACACATCTTTTCATTCTGCTTCACAGATGACCCCATTCAAGGTGTTGTACGGACGAGATTCCCCACACTTGGTGCACTTTGGGAGTAGCAGCACTCCCGTGTCTTCAGTAGAGGAATACTTGGAGGAGAGGGATCGAGTGCTAGAGGAGTTGAAGAGGCATTTATTGAGAGCTCAGCAAATTATGAAGAAACAAGCGGATGGACATAGGAAGGACATCCAGTTCGAAGTGGGGGAGGTGTTTCTGAAACTCCGACCATATAGGCAGAAGACAGTTGCCAATAGGCGGAATGAAAAGCTGGCTCCAAGGTACCATGGGCCTTATGAAGTGCTGGAGAAAATTGGGAAAGTGGCATATCGACTGAAATTACCACCATCGGCACTGATACACCCGATTTTTCATGTATCACAGTTGAGGAGGGCCATTGGTGACTATACTGCCAACACCGAGCTACCTGCGACACTATGAGGATTTAAAGGTGGTTCTGGAACCCTTAGAGCTGATGGGAGACCGCCAGAAGGAAGACGGAACTAAGGAAGTGTTGATCCAGTGGAAGAACCTATCTGACTACGAGGCCATGTGGGAGCCATACGAGAGGACGAAACAGTAGTTCCCATATTTTCACCTTGAGGATAAGGTGATTCTTTGGAAGGGCGGTATTGTTACGCCGGTTCACAAAGAACCGGCCCAGCCGGTCAACAGACCAGCTCAAATCTAGTAGAGGAGGCGGAACAAAGCTGCCTCCTTTGGCTGTTCCGCCAAAACCTGATGGGGCCCGCCCCATCTAATTATTTTTAAAAATTGAATAGAGGGGGAGGGGCTTGGATTTAGGAGGGAAATTGTATTAGGAAGGTTTGGGTATTAAAGCGCAGGAGGGAATTAGGGATGTTTTTTTTATTTTTATTTTTTTATTTTTTTTTAGGGAATTAGGGATGTTTATGTTTTGTTTGATTGAGAATTAGGGTTTCTTGGTGTTTGGGCTCTAGACTCTCTTGTTTAGAGATTTTGGAGAGACGATCCTCCTCTCGAATTGAGGATCACTTGTATCTTGCTTTCGTATTGTTTTTGTTTTGCTTCCCTTATTGCAATCTATCGTTTTGGGGCTGATTTCGCCCATATTTTGCTCTTTTCTCGCTGTTTTTCTCCTATTAGTGATAGGTTTGCTTGCGAACTCAAGTATT